ATTACCCACAATGAATATGCCACTTTAGATCCTGATGTACGATTATGGGAAGATAAGTGCGCTTTAGTAGCAGACGATAATGGAACTGTATTTCACAGTCGAATCGCGTATTTGGCATCTAAATATTTACTAAAAAAGAAATATCGTATATCTCATAACAAGATAACGAAAGACATATTGCATAACGATAACATTAGAACAAGTGCACCTCATATAGTAATGGAAATTGGTGGAGGGCACCAGGTGAAAAAAGTTATAAATGATTTGAAGAAATATGGGTTTGGATGTACAGAAATTTGGAAGGATGCTATGAATAAGGAAAGATGCATTGTTGCGAGGATTTAGCTATGAATGCATACAGGAAGGATTTTATAAAATGTTTAATTTATCAAGTAATATTTTTATAATTTTAAATCATTTAAAATTTTGATTTTTTTGATTTTTTTGATTAATGCAAGATAAATATAAATCAAATTAATATACAGTGTGTTGCAAACTTTATGAAATTTTTTTAAAAATATTAATATTTTATAACTAGCAAATTAAATAAAAAAAGTTTTTTTTATATCAAATATATAATATTACAAAGAGTTCATATTATTGTAAACACTTTATTATACAATAAATAAATCAATAAGCAAAAAAAATCTTTATTTTTTTTATTTTTTTTTAAACCCTCAATCAGGCTGGAGTTATTTATTTATTAAATCAAAATAAATTAGTACAACAAAAATTACATGTATAAATATTTTCAATTCAACTTACTCATCTATAATATTAAGTCTCTAAATGCATAAAGTTAGTTTTTTTTATATCAGTAACAAGAAACCAGTATCAAAATATGTCCACATACTTTGTATACTATAGAAATATCACATAAGACCAAAATTAAGACTATCTAAATTATTATTATTATTTATTTTAAACAATTAATTTCAATATTATTTCTTGTTATAATTATATTAATTTATCAATAATTAAAGTAGAATATTAATTTATTTATACAAACTTGAATTATTGAAACTTGATAATATATTAAGAATTAATATATTTTTATGTTTAAAATATACATTACCAGTATTATATATTTTATTATTATATAGTTAAAACTAATTAATATTTAATATAAACCTAAATATAAATTAGCTTTTTTTTTTAATAAAAAATAATCTAGAATTTTTAATACTTAATTAATTTATTTAATATCAAAAATTAAATTAAAAACCTGGATTTTAATATATTTAAAATAATTGTTATTAAATAATTATATAAGAATAAATTGATTTTGATTAATTGATATTTTTATTTTTATTTATTTATTTTTTTTTCAGGTAAAGAGCGCTAATAGCACATGGTTTTTATTGAGTGATTTATAGATTAATTGATATTTTTATTTAATAATTTGAATTATATAAATAATAAAATATTACAAATTTTTTTTTTGAATTATTCAATTTGAAAATTCAATAATAAATTAATAACTAATTATTTTTTTGAAAATTTAATATAATTTTTTTTTTTTTTTTTTTTTTTTTTTACACCTAATCAGGCCATATATTTTAAGTTTATTCAAACAAATATGTTCGGATTGATCCGAAATACAAATGGATAGATACAAAATGTCTAATGAATCTATGCTAAGGGTTAAACTTCTTTTGTTATATGACATATCCATTAACAGCCACTGGCCTCTAGATATAATTAAGGGAAATGAATAAAGTTACTCTATTTTGACCTATATTCCTTGTGAATCTCCATTTTATCGCCAACCCTTCACTCAAGACTGTTCACTCCAACTTAACCTCTGTGGTCCTAAGGTATAAAATTTTTATTTTTTTGGAGAAAATAAAAGGAAAGAATAAAGGGGAAGGAGAAAAGTTTGCACTGGTAAAATAAAAACCCTACCAAAATCAATTACTAGCCTAATGAGAGCCTTCTTTGACCTTGAAGAGAAAAGAAATCGGCACAAAAGAAGAGGGGGAAGACTTCCAAACACTTCTTATCAAGAGGACACCTTAACACCTTGCTCTAATGCTTTATCCAATTACATTATCAGTTATAATGTGGTACGACGCAGGGCACGTGTAGGTGTGTGTCTTGTTTACATTTCTTTTACTTGTTGATCAACCAATCCAAGATTTCAGCCAATCACCATCTGGAGTTTTCGGTGTAACAAAAAATTTAAGGTCAAACTGAGGTAGACAAAATTCCCTAGAAAAATCAAGAAAAATTGAACACGCTCGAAAGTGCTACCTACAGACATATATAAATGGTGGAAAGGTTCATACACCTGGACAGTAGATTCCTATTAGCTTATTCACCTGTCTGATCAAGGAGTTTACTTACAGTGGATCCAATATTACTTGGGAGTATATTCACTGATAGACCCAACTAGCTTATCCACCTGCCTTTATCTAAGGTGTTTGCTTACAGTGGACCCAAGGTTCTTATGGATCTTGGGAAATGCATTTACTAGTGGTTCACTTCTTTAAAGTTCCTAACCTAAGGAGAAATAGTGGAGGGTATTTTTCTACAGGTTTCTTCTTCCTAATAAGGTGTTTTTACCGTAGACCAAATGGATAAAGCTTTGTTTATTTTGTTACTGAAATTAAAGATGGGTCCCTAAATTATTTGTGAGAACATAATTCAAATGTCCCTTACTATTAAAAATTTTTATTTCTATATTAAGGAATAAAAAAAAATTACCTACAAAGGTTCTTTATAGTTTTAAGCATCTATACAAATCATTTCTGGAATTATGTCCTTATTGAAGTAAAAAGCTAGGAATTATGTCCTCTAGGGGACGTGGACGTAAAGGGACATAAATTTTATATGCTAAATACTTTAGGGACCCATCTTTAACTGAAATATCCAAAGTTTTTCGAAAAAGAAAGAGTAAACAAGTGGAGGAGACACCTGCCTTCAGGAAGTAATATTTTTAAGAAAAGTGTATAAACTTTATTATCAAAATAAAAATTATTTTTGAGAATGTCTGTTTTTTGGGTTGGCAAAGGGATTAGCGGAAAGAGTTTTTTATTTGTAATATTTTTAATATATTATAAAATTAACAAATTGATTTAATAATTTAAATAATTTTTTGATTATATATTATAATTTACAAAAAAATTTTAATTTATTGTCATCAATTTTAATTAATTTTTTTTTAAACCTAATCAGATCATATACTACTTATATTTATTTGTTTTAAACTTATAAAATAAGTAATTCTTATATAAATATTATATGGGATATAAATATATATACTAATAATAAAACTTATTAACACTATATGGCACCTGTTAATAACTAATATAGCCTCTAGATATGATTAAAGGAATAAAAAAAATTACTCAATTAAAGAAAACATTTCTTATCTATCTAAAATATCATAGCCAGCTCTTTATTAAAACTATTACTTCAACTTAATCTTTGTAATTCTAAGATATAAAATTTTTTATTTTTTTTTAAAAAGATAAAAAAAAAAAGTAAAAGTGAAAAAAAAAGTTTGTGCTAGTAAAATAAAACCTATTTAAACCAATTATCAGTCTAATGAAAACCTTTTTTAATCTTAAAGAAAAAAGAAATCAGCACAAAAGAAAAGAGAAAAGATTTCAAGCCACTTCTTATTAAAAAAATACCTCAACATTTCACTTTTCACCTTATTTAATTATATCATTGGTTGTAATATAATATGACATGAAATATATATAAGTATATGTCTTGTTTATATTTATTTTATATATCAATCAATCAATCCAATATTTCAGCCAATTACTAATCAGAATTTTCAATGTAATAAAAAATTTAAAGTTAAATTAAGATAGACAAAATTCTTTAAAAATCAAAATTTTTAATATACTTGAAAACATTATTACAAATATGTATAATTGGTAAAGAAAAGTTATATACTTGAACAAGTAGGCCTTACTAGCTTATTCACTTATCTCAGATATCAGATGTTTACTTATGGTAGATCCAAGATTCTTATAAAACTTGGAAAATGTATTTATTGATAAGTTTAACTAACTTATTTACCTGTCTTAAACATCAAGTGCTTATTTATAATGGAACCAAGATTCTTAAAGAGCTTGAAAAATATATTCACTAGTAATTTATTTTCTAGAGTTTCAGATTTAAGAAGAATATAATGAAAGATGTTTTTTTAACAGGTTTTTTTTTTCCAATAAGATGTTTTTATTATAAATCAAATAGATAAGGTTTTATTTATTTTGTTATTAAAATATACAAAGTTTTTTAAAAAAAGAAAAAATAAACAAATAGAAGAAATATCAATCTTTAAGAAGTAAGATTTTTAAGAAAAATATATAAATTTTATGATTAAAAATAAAAAATATTTTTGAGAATGTCTGTTTTTTGAATTAATAAAGGAATTAGCAAAAAGAGTTTTTTTATTATCAATTTTATTTAATATTAATCTTATAAAATTTATTGATATTTTATTACAATATTATATAAATTAAATCTTATTTTAAAGTTTATAATTTATAATAAATTTATTAAAATATATTATAATTTTATAATTATAAGTCAAATAATTTTTAAATATATTGTTATTAAATTTATTATTATTAACTTCATATTTAATTTTATTATTTTCAGTACTAGTATTTAAAGATAAGTCTTTAAACTAAAGGCAAGAACATAATTCAAATGTCCTTTATTATTAAAAAAGTTTTTTTTTTAATATAAAAATTAAAAACAACTACTTATAAAAGTTTTTTATAATTTAGACTATCTAATTTAAATGTTTTTTGAATTATATTTCTATTAAAATAAAAAGTAAATAATTATATTCCTTCCAAAGAACATAATTGATCTGCAAAATTTTATATACTAAATAGTATCAGGACCCATCCTTACTAATATTATTTAATATTGAACTTTATTATTATTTATTTAAATACCAGTTGAGCCTTGCTTTATTGATGATTTGATACTTTATATATGTTACATAGTGTATTATATATAATTTACTATATGTGAATAAAGCTATGTCTAAGTAATTTACATATTAGCTTGTTGCTATCAGCTTGTCCAAGAACAGAAACATAAGCTAACATGCCAAGGCTCCATTAGCTTGTAAATTTAGTTTTTGGTATATTACACACTTTAAGTTTTATTTCTAACTGGGAATATATTAAAGGAAGTGAAAAGGGAACTGGGGAATAGTACCTATTATAGCAAATAGAACTTCTAAAAATTAAATACCCCTCTAATCCAAACCAGATTATAAGACCTTTTTCAAAAAGAAACACCCTTTGCAGGAAGAAACACCAGATATCATGGGGGACAATCATCAAGCCTTTTTTTCTTAAACCGGATGC